TATTATGTGTGCAAATGAGCGTTCGGCTTTTAATTTTTTATTTGTGCGTAATAGAACTTGTAGGCAATTACTTTTGTGTGCAAACGTACGTTTGTCTCTTAATTTTTATTTGTGCGCAATAGAGCTTGTTGGGAAACGTACTGTAGGCAATAATATTATGTGCGCAATATGGCTTGTGCGCAATAGTTTGGTGTGTGCAAACGTACGTCCGTCTCTTAATTTTTTATTTGTGCACAATAGAACTTGTAAGCAATCTTATTGTAGGCAATAATTTTTGTGCGCAAACGTACATTCGTCTCTTAATTTTTACTTGTGCGCAATAGAGCATATAGGCAATCATACTGTAGGCAATAATATTATGTGTGCAATGTGATTTGTGCGCAAGTGTCGTGTGTGCAAACGAGCGTTCGGCTTTTAATTTTTTATTTGTGCGTAATACAATTTGTAGGTAATTGTTCTGTAGGCAATAATTTTTGTGTGCAAATGAAATGTGGATAAGTTGAATGTCAGCAATCGATACTGTAGGCAATCGGGACCCTCCCGGTAAAACAGACTTGTTTCGCCATTTTATGCTCAAGCTATCTCAAATGCTCTTTCGTCCATATTTATCTTTATTCAGAAACGGCACGCAACTTTCGTCAGCGTGTCTCATTTTTCGCTTTTGATGTTACAATCCGAGATCACCGGCAAGATACAAAAAGCCTTAAATATGTTATGATATAACTACAGATTATTTTAAAAACAAATAAATAAATAAATATATATATATATATATATATATATATATATATATATATATATATAGCAACTGTACATTATTTAATATGGTCTATAAACTGGTAATCCTGATGGCAGTGGCATCGGCATAGCTACAGGTCCAGTCGGGTAAGGTATGGAAGGTGTCATTCCGGGAAAATTTGAAATGGTTGGATAACCAGGTGTATTGTTCGCAGAATACCCTTTCCTTACTAGTTCTTTCAATTTATCTACTTTGACTTTGCGTAAGTGCATTAATTTTCTTCTAGTTAAGAAGTGGTCCAGGAATTCGTCAACCTCGATATCACCTGCCATAAACTTTTCTGCTACAGTCTATATATTGGGAGAACATCATGGTAATTATTTAACTAAACATTCTCCAGTTAAATGTACTAACAAAGTCATCTTACTTCTGATTCTTCTTCAATTTCTGCAGCAGCAGCTTGCAACAGGTCCAATGCAGTATCGATAGTCATTGAATCTGACTTATCACCTACAAATATAACTATATAAATCATTGTTGTATGTATAAGTGTGTATATTACGTCATGTGTGTACTATATCGTTATAACTAAAATTGCTTATATAATTTTCAACCTTGCGTATATAGTTAAAAATTGTATAATTCTCGATCTAAGGTATGGTATGACGTTGATTACATGGTTTTATATACAAATGCGCGCGTACGCACACACGTACACACAAAAATATATGTAAAACCGCATATAGTCAACATCGTATATATCATATCATTCCTTATATCTAGAATTATGCGATATATATACCGACTGTTTCAGACCACCCATTTAAAAACGAGGGAAGTGATTATTTTGAAAAATATTTCAGACAAAAATTGTAAGGTTCAAAGAGAGACATCTAAAGGTGACCTTGCCTTTAATGGCTATTGTCAAGGTTATTTCAAGGTGACGTTGATTTTTTAAATGGAACTTTCTATTTTTCAATGCATGTTCTTGTAGCTTATCTCGAAAGTTTTCCAAAACACTAATAATGTATTTTTTCATTAACCCTTTAGCTACGGGAATAATTTTAAAAACCCTGTGATACAAAACCAAGTAAAATTATAAAATCGCTTATTGACGACAGCCGTGTTTCAGGAAAATTCCATTTCGTCGTCTATTGACGACAGCCGTAATTAAGGGTCAAGTACTTTTGCCGGCGGTATTGTAACTTTTAAGTTTCATTACTTAAAAAGTACTTAATGAAAAAATACGTTATTATAGTGTTTTAGAAAGCTCTCGAGATAAGCTACAAAATATGCAATAAAAAACGGAAGGTTCCATTTTAAAAAATCAACGTGATCTTGAAATAACCTTGACAATGGCCGCCAAGGTCAAAATTAAGGTTACTTTTAGATGTCTCCTTTTGAACTCTACAACTTTTGTCTGAAACATTGTTCAAAATAACCACTTCCCTCGTTTTTAAATAAGGTGCACGAACTGGGCCCTTATTCTTGAAATAGTTACGTATACGTAAGCGTATATGTAAGTTTTACTGCGCAGGTTTAATCATACCATAAAATAGCTGCGTAATGAAAATTACGTATACACAAAAATTTCAAGAATAGAATCTCTGGTCTGAAACACCTGTATATACAGGGAATCTGGCTCGTACTGTACTAGAACTAACATATAGCTAGAATAGGTCGAGGTAAGTAATGGAATCAGTGTCTTTTTTTAAACAACTATTCGTAAAATTTCGAGTTATTAAATAAAATAGATGGAATAATCAGAGCGCGCGACGCAGCAGGCAGGACATACAGCGTGTCGCGGCCGGCGAAGAAAATTGACGATTGCTCGCGGGCCTATCTCATAGGCCAGAGAGGTGGCCGTTTGATAGCTACTATCAAATTAAAAAATAAAATATAACTTTCAAATAACTTTAGCAAGAATACTGAAAGTCAAGTGACTAGTATTATCAAATGTCCCTTTCGACGCTCTATAACTTAGAGCTTTAGATACATATTTGATTCCTACAACTTTCGTCTAAAACATTTTTTTCTAGAATCCCGTAATTTCTAGATATTTGATTGTGAAAATATGACACTCTATATTTGTATATATAACACAAAGAATATTTTATTAACAAGATAAAGATGAAAAAAGTTTTATATTTACATAATGACTAATGTTATCAATATAATATTGTAATCTGTTAATTATTATTGTGTTCTTTAGTAAAATGAGAACCGATAATTTTATTATTGATAATCTAATATTATTGATAATATATACATGTGAGGATTTCTAGTTCCAGTTGCAAAAATCAAATAGAAAACACTGTTTCGGAGACATCGTGGCAAAAACATGTTGCAATAGATATTACATTCTATTAATATTAACAGTTATCATTTTGAGTAACCTTTGTAAAGGTAAGTTTTTTCATCTCTACAATTAGTTAATAAAATATTTTTTGTGTCATAATTTAGTGAGGAAGTCTTTGTTCGATTCCTGGCTAAGGCAGTATTTTTATAACTCTTGAATTAATATTAATATCATGGAGAATCATAAAATTTAAAAGTGTAATAGAAATGGTTGAAAAATTGGGTATTAGGAGATTAATTTAACTCTTCGTATACATACTGGATGGTTACTACCCATAACTAAAATTCAGTGCTATCATACATCTTCAATTTTTGCATTAGTATGTTCAACTAGCAAATTTACCAAATGTAAATATACATATATATATATATATATATATATACATACGTACATACGTACATACGTGCATGTATGCATGCATGCATGCATACATACATACATACATGCATACATGCATACATGCATACATGCATACATGCACGTATGTACGTATGTACGTATGTACGTATGTACGTATGTATGTATGTATGTATGTATGTATAAAATTATAAATATACTTTTTCCAGAGATGACTTACGAGACAATTTTTTCCTTAAAGATAAACATTTCAACAAAATAAAATGCTAAGTTTTTACTTAAAAATAATAAAAATTACAAAAGTTACAAAGTTTTTTGCAAAAACTCACTTTTCTTTTAAATCGCGAAATATAATAATTTTTTTAATACGAAATTCTTTAAATTTTAATACAAAAAGTATGTAAATACTTTCTATAATAAAAATATAAAAGTTCTAAATATTAAAGTTAATCCATGAATTTTCTCAAAATTTTAGCATATTTTAAAAGATACAGCTGTTTGAAAATTGCTATGCGTGGCAACCATTCAGTGTGTATGCAAAAGTTGAAAAAATAAGCGTATATACGAAAGATTAATATCATAAAAAATAATTTAGCAAAAAAAAAAAGAATTAATCTGACTGAAGGCTGATTCACCGTGTATGTTATAAAATAACGGACAAAATATCCGGTATATGCGTTCATACTGTCAGAAATTATCTTCTCTTAAAAATTTTAGTATTCGTAGCAATAACCATGTTTGGCTTTTATTCACTTGTTCCTCTAATTTATATCATAATTAAGATTTAGCGATCTAAAATAACTCTAGCCTGCAAAAATTAGTGGATGTAATGGGAATAAGTGATTTTTATAGATTTTTGCTCACTGAACACGAATCCATTGTCCAAATTGTGACTATCGTCACAATTTTGAGAAAAATGGCGTCAAAGAGGCCAAAAACGACGATTTTGAAGGTTTCCATGGTGTAGTATCCGTAGCAAATTGTTTTGCTAAATTTTGTTAACGCTACGCGAAAATATGAACTCTTAGCTTCAAAATGCATTTCGTTCCATTTTGCTACAATTTTTCGTTTCTTAGATACAGTTAAAAGAAAAATTACTAATAGTGCACGAGTATCACATTAACCTGCGAAAATCGACGTTTTTCTCTTTACGGATGTAATGAGAGTAGGTAATTTTTATAGGTTTTTGCTTGCTGAACACGAATCCGTTGTCCAAATTTGGCTATCACGTTAAAATTTTGAAAAAAATAGCATGTAAGAGACCAAAAACGACGATTTTGAATTAAGTTAATGTTACATGAAAATATAAACTTGTATCTTTAAAATGTAGTTTGTTCCATTGCGTTGCGATTTTCTGTTTCCTAAGTATAGTTGGAAGAAAAAATATTAGTTGTGTGCGCATATCACCAATATCATTGCTCGGTACGATGTCTCTTCAAAGAGTGCAAATAGTCTTTTCAGATGTACTTTTGAGTGCTGAACATAAATCCGTTAATTAGTGAAATTTGGCTACCATATCACAATTAAAACAAAAATAGTATCAAGTAGGAATACGAACGCAATAAAGACATAAATCACCTATTATGGCATATCACTTATTAAATATTATATATCATTAGTTATCAGTAAATAGTAAAAGCAACAGAATGTCATTACTTATTAGTAATAATAAACATAAGTGAACATATCGTTATTTATTATTAAATATTACATAACGCAAAAGAACATATTGTTACTTATTGTTACATATTATTACTAATATTATAAGTATAATTTGCTTATTTATATACTTTTAATAATAAGTTGTGTTATGTCCTAATAATAAATAACGATATGTTAATTATAAAGTTTTAAAGGTACAAGTTTATATTTTCATGTTCACATTAACAAAATTTAACAAAACAATTTACTGCAGGTGCTACAACACCACAAATACCCTCAAAATCGTCGTTTTTCGCCTCTTTGACGCCATTTTTCTCAAACTTGTGATAGCTAAATATGGACAACGGATTCATGTTCAGCGGGCAAAAATCTATAAAAATCACCTCTCATTACACCCGCAGAAAAAAGTTCGATTTTTACAAGCTAGTGTAATTTATTATATCACAGATATTGCATTTTTTAAATAGTTATAAAAAAGGAACAAAAAACACTATATTTCATTTAAGAAAAGCAAAGTGACTTTCAAATTTTTGAAGATACTTCATGAAAAGCATTATTGGCATAAGACAATTACTTTTGTACAATGTAATTTTTGCTAAATTTTTCCTTTATTTTATTTATTAAAAGCTTTTAAGATAATAATAGTTATTACCTCAACCTCTGTGTATGTATGTGTGTTTACAAGAGATTTAACATAACTCGTATATTTCTTCATATATAGAAAGAACTCATTAAAACTGAACAAAAAGATCCTTTATCACTCTACAAACTGTGATAATTATGAAGATATTAATTAAAGAAAATTAGAGACAGTAAATATGATTGCAGGTAATATGTGTGATGAGGCAAGTTCTTAAAGTCACATCCAACATATTTGAATCTATCAACAATCACTTAGCAACAGCAGATGGTGTATAAGGGCTTTCAGATTTTCCATCCTGAGGAGCGAAATGAAGAAATCTGATTAGTTAATTTCCTTATGCGTTATACAAAAGTCTATGCTTCTACCTTAATGCTGGACAATGTAAGAATGTATTATAAGGCTTGTTTATTTAGCTAAACTATTTGAACTGATGCACATTAATCAAATAAATTAGAGTTAAATATATTCCCAGACAGCACAAGATCTCCAGGGGATATCCTGGGGACGTTCTCAGAACATCTTTAGGATATCCTTTAGAGATCTGTGCTGTTTGGGATTTTGTTTCATTCTAGCTCATTGCATCAGCCTATACCAGTTCAATGGTTTAGCTAAAAAAAACAGACTCATAGCAGAACTGCCATTTAGTCATAAGGCCAAAAAATTGAAGTAATGACTACTTCTTGACAAAAATAGATGACAAAAGTAATCTCTCAGATATCAAACTAGTAACTAAGTGATATATTTTGTTAAATTTTTTATATAAATAAGACAACTTAAACAAGGAAGTAACACTCTTATCTTCTCGGAATTATCTTTAGATAAATTTGTTAAGTCGGATTGCATTAAATACCTTGATATTAAGAATTTTCAAATGAGACCGACTTGACATAATTTATGATTGCATTGTTTTCAAAAAGATACAAAAATTTTATATATATATATATATATATATATATATATATATATATATATATAT